CATATGTGGGCTTCACATTGGATTGCAAATTTTACGGGTTAGATGTATGGCTCATAATGATATTTGTGTTTGGGCCAAATTTATTAAGTGACCAATTGGACCTTTTACACCTTACGGGTTGTAATTAATTTTATGTGGTAGTTTAAAGTATGTGGGCCGGAAATAAACCCTAATTAGAATTCTAGTCTTAATGGGACGGCTCAAATTATTTCCTATATATAAAGGCTAGGTCCCCTCTCCTCTCTATATGTTTTATTGGCTTGCCCCATTGATAGCTGATATTTTGTGAGGAGCAAGGAGGGAAAGATCTTGGCTGCTATTACTACTACTATTCATATCAACAATGGCTTTCGCAGGTATGAATTCGTTTCTGTTAATTCATTGGATTGTGATTATCGATTCTTAACATGATTAAAACTAAATATCAACATGCCTTGGCAACATTAAGTATAATATTGAACCTTCTAGCCCAATTCAAACTCATATTATTACAGTTATTATTCGATTCTGAAAATAAAGACTCCTGCAAGCTTTTATTAGGCATGTACTCATAAACCACAAGTCTCTGATCTCTATCCACGCAATAACCCAATAAATTAACAACAAGAGGACAAGATTTTAGCGCACCCAGAATATTTAACTCATTCTGAAACTCCTGTTCAAGCTGAAATGAAGTTGAATCAAGAATTTTTATGGTTACCAATTTTCCATCCTTAAGAATACCTCTGAATACAGTTCCAGAGCCTCCTTTGCCAATGGAATTGGAATCACTGAAGTTCTGGGTGGCATCCTTTAGCTCTTTGTAACTATACCTCTGGAGCTTGTTTAAGGGTGTAGTGGTATCATATGGGGTGGTGCCGTATGTTTAGTATAAAATGTTACTTAAATCTATTAGCCAAACATGCTCGTAGGAGAAATAAAGAAACATAATTTGGAGATCCAGAACCAATGAAACCACTTTCTGGTCTTCCATTTGTCTCTCGTGGAAGCCAACGGCTGAGCTATTTCTTCCGGAGTGAGCACATAATGCAACCCCATTGTCAAGAAACCACTGGCAATAAAATTGATAAACCCAACCTAATGAGCCCCTTTATTTCATCCATTGAAGTTATACAAGAGGAAAATCAAATTTTGGGACAGAGAACGAGGGCGCCTATTTATTCTCAATACTCATAAATGTTTAAAAAGTGAATTGAATGATAATAGCTCGGTAACGTATGGATGAAATTAGAGTAATGTTATTTAATCTCATTGAAGTTGTAACCCCAATCTAAGTATAGTTAATTTAGCATTAAATGATAAATGAAATTAAATGACTCATTTAATTCCACCTTTCATTTAGTATATTGCAAATCCAGAGGGGCTACGTAACATTATTTTGAAATCATGGATAGCTCAAAGAATGTTTTGACTGATGCATCACTTCTGCAACCATGCCAATACGAGGGGTTTGTTTGGCATCACTAGTTCATTGATTACGAAATATCTTTTTACTTTATTGGAAATGAAAAACACAAATATATATTTTTCAAATTTCAAATACCAACAAATACAAAAAAAGTCAAGTAAAAATCATGGCAAAGTGTCTCATTTTTTTTTTTTTTTTTTGGCTCTATCTGTATTAGTAAGTTTGTTTGGCATAACTTATTTTAAAATTATTTTTTTCCTTAAATTCATTTTCAATCATATTCTTGCACTAAAATAATTTTGCACGTGAACCCACAACTTTTTTATACTTCTTAACTACATTCTCTAACAAAACTTTATTTTTCATTCCAAATAATCATTTTCCAAACAAACTCTAAAACATAGAATTCCATATTACAATATCAACGTTGTTCTGCATTTTTTACTCTATGTATAAAAGCAAATTATGCACCTTTTTAAAGTATTCTCTAAACTTTTTGCATATTTTTGGGCAATTTCACTTATTGCAAGAGTAAATTTAATAATCCAAGCAACTAATTAGAGTGATTAAATATGCAAGTAAATGATCAAAATAAAAACTAAAAAATACAACACCAAATTTTTACGTGAAAAAATCCCTCAAGTGTAAACGGAAAAAAAACACTGGACAACTCCAACCAAATCCACTATAATAAATATAGATTACAATCTGCAAGTTTATGTTCCAAAACTTGAATTCTCAACAAATTGAAAATACCACAATAATCAATCTCCAAGATAACAATTAATCTCACCACAAAACATCAATTTGATGAAACTTGTGAGACACATATTTTGAATATTACACCTCTAGATTGTCCAAAATACACTTTAGAGAAATCTCCAATTTGTACTGTGTAGAGAAGAAAAAGAAAAAAATCTATGTGGATCCATACCCAAAGATTGGAAGAAAAATCCTTTTTTTATTTCTCCACGCTGTCAGCCCAATTTTTGACCTACAATGATATTAAAGTGGATTTGGACCTTTTTTCCTCATGGGCTGGGAGCCCATATAACACATACACCATTTTCCTATGTGAAAATTACACCCTCCCCTACATTAAAAATCCACATTTCTAAAATCAGACCCAATGTTTAGATATTCTAAAATCAGATGTTTTTAATTAATTAATATATATAAAATATTTATTTTTAATAAATATATAACACAATTTCAACCCCAAACCCTAATTATATCCCTCATTTATTCTCTCTCCAAACTCGTTCCTCTAATCCCTCTCGCCTCTCTTCTCTCGTTTCTCAACATCAATCTCTTCTCTCCTTTATCTCTGCCGATGACACAGCTATCTTCTCTCCTTCGTCTTTATCGACGATGCAACTTGCATCACTGTCGTGAGATCCAGTGTAGAACGGCGATACATTATGGCAAGGTGGATACGATGATACATTGTGCAAATTGTGGTGACAGTGGCATGGTGTGTGTTCAGCTGGACGGTGTTGGTTTCCTGGGGTGATGTGGATCTATGGTGTTGGAGTGTGGTGGCGACTGTGGTGACAATGACTTGGAGAAATTTGTTAGATCAAGTGTGGCGATGCTCAGACCAGTCGAGGTTTCTCCGATTTCTGCATTATTTGAGTGCCTTATGTGATGGATTTGATGGTGGCACCATGGCTGTGGTGTTCTGTTAGATCGGTTGGTGGATCCGGAGATGGCAATGGTGGTTGTGGTGGTGTTTTTGGGTTGATTTGTTTGAGGTGGGAGTGTTGTTGTCGATGATGGTGTGGGTGGTTGCTGTGATGGTGGTTTTGCATACCGGTGAGATGAAGGTAGTCGTGGCAGGTGGTGACTGGGGGTCGACGAGATGGGAGGGGGTATTTGTGACCAATTATTTGGTTATTTGTGACCAATAAATTGGTTTGTGACTTGTAATTTATTAATTTGTGACCATAAATTTAATTGTGACCAATTATTTTGATATAATTTGTGACTGATAAATGAATTGTGACCAATTAAAATTTTGATTTTGTGACTAATCAATGAATTGTGACCTAAGAAATTTTGGATTTGTGATCGACAAATTAGATGTGATCAATAACAATTTTGATTTCGTGACTTATAAAATTTTTTATTCGTGATCGAAAAATAATATGTGACCTATAAAATTTGTGTTTGTGACTTATAATTTATTGAGTTGTGACCGAAAAATTAAGCTGTGACCTATAAAATTTTTGATTCATGATCGAAAAATAATGTGACCTATAAAATTTGTGTTTGTGACTTATAATTTATTGAGTTGTGACCGAAAAATTAATTTGTAACCTATAAAATTTTTGATTCGTGATCGAAAAATAATGTGATCTATAAAATTTTTAATTTGTGACCGAAAAATAAGTTGTGACCAATAATATGATAAGTCGTGACTAAAAATTAATCCGTGACTAATTATTTTTGAATTTGTGGCCAATAAATAAACTGTGACTTACAAAATTTTTGAAATGTGATCGTAAAAAAATTTGTGACATAAAATTTTTAATTTGTGATCAAAAAATAATAAGTAACTAATTATATTATTAATTTGTGACCAAATTGTATAGATCTGTGACCTAAATATATTTAATTAATAAAATAATTAATTAACTAATTAAATTATAAATAATTTTTAATAAAAATCTGATTTTAGAAATTTGAAACTTGTTTTGTTGTTTTTAAAATGTACCATAATTAATTTCTTAGTTACGAAATTTTCCCTTTTCCTATTCATCCATCCATAAAGAGGAGTTTATATGCAACCATAATCCTTGTGTTTCTTGTACACGGAATGGTGCAGAAAAATGACCTCACTTACAGAAACTACCTGCAGAAACACCAACTATGCATATCTACTGTACGGGCAAATGCCAGAAGCATTACTGCAAATGGAATAGGTCTTGTCCTCGTAATGGTGGAAGCTGTGAAAGCCAAGGCCAAAGAAACACTTTATGCCATACACAAACTTTAGGTTTCTCGGCCCAAGTTGAGAGATGCATTGAACGATTGCACCATTCAGTACCATGTAATTACCAAGTTTGATGTACCTATAGCAGTGGAATATTTAAACGAAGGGCTTCCATTGATGAAATTGTATGCAAATATATTATGCAATGGGAATTTCGACCATCTAATACCACCATTAACTGGATTGAACGATGCAGAGTATAATCTTCGTAACGTTGCTAAAGCCTGAACTTTTATACAGTAATTTGGACGGAATCTAAAAGAAACTAAAACTTCGTCTTTCAAACATGATCTATGAAATTCACCAATCCATCAAAGCAAATATTAAATGACTTGAAACTGAGGGCAAAGTCAAAACTGTGGATCTACTTAAAGTCAAACAATTTAAAAACAAATTTAAGAGAATTTATCAAAGCAATTAAATATTAAATGGATCTGCTCACATGAATCCTCGAGTCTAATGCAGAGATCCCTGAATTTAGGCGAGAAAATGATGCATGTTAGCCAGACATGTACTATTTCAAATATATACGAAAACTAGCATGGATTTAGCACATGTAAATTTAATGAACATTGCATAATAAGTGACAAACCTGGGAAAAAAATAATTATTTTATATATATGAAGAAAAAACTCTCGTTATATCGTCAATAAACAAGTAAAATGAATGAAAAAACTTGATTTAACACGAAAAAGGTCTCAAACATTTTGTATGATATAACCTACGGTTCACACAATGCTAGCTAAAATAAGGAAATACTAGATCGAAACCCAACCAAGAAACCATTCGAAAGGCCTGAGTAACTGCTGTGGCAACTTCTTTATGACAAATTTCTTTCTCCCTTTTAGTATTAAACTCTGTACGAGGGACTCGTACCTATCCAGTTTTGATATCAGAAGGCACAATATTAGTCTATAACGATCAGCAACTGAATATAGTCCGTGATCTTGCAGTCTCTACGTGTTGTATCACTAGTGTACTTGAGCTTCTTTCTAACTGTAATTCCACTTTACCCGATGTCTCTATTCCCCTTACCCTTGATATCTGAACTAGGTGCCAGTTCCGCCAGATTACAAAATATTTTGGTGGTCGTGAACCACAATGAAACCACTCTCTGGTCCCACATTTGTCTCAGGTGAACCATGGAAGCCAGCGGCTGCATTATTTCCAGGGGACATTCCTGAGTGAGCAGATTTTGCAACACCATTGTCATTGAAGCACGAGCAATAAAATTGATAAACCCAACCTCATGAGCCCTTTTAATTCATCCATTAAAGTTTTACAGAAGGAAAATACAAATTCTGGGACAGCTCGGTAAGTGTGTGTACGAAATTATGGATAGCTCAAAGAATGTTCAGATAGTTGCATTAATTATGCAACCCTGCCAATACAACAACAGAGTTTTAGCCTAAAGGAATAAATTGAAGAAAAAAAGAGACAGAAATTTCAAAAATTTCTGATATTTAAAGAAGGATAAAATAACAGATTACCACAGTTTTTGTATTGAGAACACAAACAACTATTATTACATGATCACGTCCTAATGCAACACAACAAACATTGAAGAATAACATAGACGTAAACATAAAAGAAATAATGAATATAACAGAAATCTTTAAGCCAGAATTCGAACAGTAAAAACTGAAATCTAAGAGAATAATTGAGAAAGGAATAGCATGAACGCTCTTTCTGTCCTTCCCAAGGGACAGATGAAGTTGGAATAACGTAATTTTAAGTTACTTATTTATCCAATGTAAATTTCAAAATTACAATTTTTTTTCCTAACAAAACTTACTAACTTTTAAGTGCAGCCAAACATGCTCTAAATTATGCATCAAATATTGGCTATCGATAAATAAAGAGCATATTAAATTCATTATCAGATATTAAATATTACCTTGAAGAATGATCACAATACAGAAGAGAAGAGTGAATAGAATGGCAATCAAGTTTCCAGTTGATGATGACATGGAGGAGTGCTTTGCTCTTTTCATTTTCTTCAACGCCTTTATTCGCTCGATTCTTGCACGTTTAATCATCGCAAGCTCAGCAATCTCTTTGATCAGCTTCTGATCAGGAGCATCCAGTGACAATCCTCTTGGAGGACGAGGAGGTTTAGGCGGCTTCTTGGCACTATTTGACTTGCGCTTTTCCTTCCTTACGTTCTTCTCCAGAACCAGAGAAACATCGCTCAAATTTTTCACATTTCTGCTCAAGCTCGCCCCATTTCCACCCCTGACCGGTCCATCTAAATTTACTGCTGCACTGCCGACCTTATCAGAAGAAATCTTCCCGAGTTTGGCATCCAAAAGGTCGGGGCTTCTTGTTTCTCGGCTCATATTTACATCAGACTCAATATCAATCACAACTTCTCTCATAAGAATGTGATCCATTGGTACCTCCTCCTCTTGCTCATGAATAAAATTTTAAACTGCCAACAGTATTACTTTAAAAATTATCCTCAAAATATGTCAAATGCAGGAAATTTAAGATCTTGCTAATTAATTAATTAAATTACTGCCCACATTTCCATATAAGAAAACCCATAAACTAAAACAGTAGAACTACTAAAATGCAAATTCAGGAAGTCATAAAGCAATTTCTTTCCTAGCCCAGATAGAGTTGACGAGAACTTGAATCACAAAAAATATAAAAATGAAATTTTCATAAAGACAACGAGTAAGATTCTAGAATTCTACAACCAAATGCTTGTGGGCAAAGTAAAGAACAAAAATTACAAAATCGATTATTGATTTGGGAAAATGAAAACAAAACAGTATTCAAAGCATAAACATTTACATACACGAAATCATCAAAGTAACAAAAGCTAGCCGTAAAATCACCAAAAATATCATTAGCAACTAAGAAAAGCAAGCACTAAAAACAATAAAATGAAAATACCTTTTTAAATTCTAAATCCAATGAAAGACAAGATCATCAAAGTAGCAAAAGTAGAAGCTTCCAGTGACCATTTAAGATTCAGGATTTTATTTTTTTCTTTATAGAGAGAGAAATTTGAATATATAGCATGCATGAGAGAGAGAGAGAGAGAGAGAGAGAGAGAGAGAAGAAGAAGAAGAAGAAGAAGAGAAGAAAAAAGATTAGCGCACGAGGAATTGGGCCAGAAGCTCACAACCGGGATAGTGGTGCCTTCGATTCTTTATTAAGTAAGTGGAAATTACCAAAATAGTCAACTTTTGGTTTTGTATTTACATAAATGTCACTTTTTTTTTTTTTGACATTGCAAGAATGTCGATTTTAAACATATTTGCCCTTAAAACTAATTTTAAATACCTTATATGTCCTAATTAAATGAGATTTGACCAATCAAAGAAATTGTACAAAATTCTGGAAGAGTGTCAGATGAAATTGAATTATTCAAGAAAAAAGCAGAGCAAAAACCAAAATATACGCTCCAATCCCCCATTCAAAGAGCCCTAAATCTCTCGCTCACTCTCTTATTTCTCTCAATGAAGTGAACGCGAGTATGTTGAAGATGTGAAGAATCTAATGAAGAATTTCACTAAATATCAGAATATTGCCAGCAATAGTTTAGCCATTATATCTAAACTGTTCAAAATACTTGGAGATTTTGGGTTTTCGATTCATAGAAAGCTTTTGGGGGCGGTGGAGGCGGATCCAGCACCTGGCGAGCCTCCGCGGTCGCCCGTGCTAAATCCGCCGGGAGCTTCAATGGTCGCCGAGTTGGTGGGATGAGTAGCAGCGCGGCAATGGCATATTTGCAAAGTCGAACAGGACGAGCGGAGAAGAAGAAGTTCGAAAATTTATTTTTTTGCCTTGGGGCTGATCAGATCGGAGATTGGGCCTTTAAAAAAAAAAAAACTTTAGGCTCAAATAAGGAAATTAAAACTGGCAGAGCAAAATCCACCCAAGGTCCCAAACTCCATTTGATACCGGTTGGAAAGTGTAAACAGTAAACCCTTAAATTTCCATATTTCCATTCGGAGCAGAAGTAGCAGCTCAGCTGGAGGACTGGACGCAGTGGAGTCGGTGGACCGTGTGCCGCTCTCAGTATTCAATCTCACACAGTTCAGGTCTTCTTGTTTATTAATTCAAAGCAATTTTGTGAGCCCTCTTTTGAATATATTCTATATTGCTTGTGGGTTATTGTTTTTAAATTAGAAAGAAATGGTTGATGATGTGAAATTGTTATTGTATGTGAAAATATATTAAAAGTTTATGTTTGTTAACTCTTTTGAATATATTATCTATTACAGTTTATTTTGTTAACTAATTACCTCCCATTCGTCAGTTGTTGAAAAGATTATGTTTCCCTTTTTTCAGAAAAATTATATTATTTTAGCTAATTGGATCAGAATTTGAACTTTGTTTGTTGATTTAACACTACAGTTTTAGAATTAGAATTCTCATGGGCGTTTGGGTTGCTTTAAATTGTGTTATTCATCAATCATAGTAAAATCATGCAAATTCAATTTAACAGATAGTTTTACCTATGCCTTTGAGAAAAGAAGATGTGGAAAGGGAATTGTTATTGTTTGCTGTTCTCAAAGTTACAACTAACTATGATTATTCCATCCATAAAGAACAGCATTTGAGATATAATTAAAACTATTTGTACGTGTCTAATCTATTATAATTGTGTCCACGTGCAGTGTTAACTGGCCTTGTTTCCGTCTTGATAGTATCATACTTGTGCTTTCTGTCTACGATTGGGCTCGTGGTGGCAATTCTTTGTCGACAGTAACCCAACTTTCTCCACAGCCACATTTGGTAAGTTTTATTTTACACTTCTAATATAATAAACTTTTTTGCTATTGAATTTCTCCCTTTTTTTTTTGTTCACTCTTAAAAATTATTAATTCCTCAATTATTTGTTTAGTCACTGCGATTATAATTTAAGATCATCCCCATCTATAAAGAAATACATTATTTGACTCACCTATATAACAATTAAAATAAATAATCTTGGTGTGTTTAATGTTAAAATTAGTAATCTTGATTTGTTAAGGTTAAGGATAGAATCCCTCGTCAAGATTAACTTTTAAAGGTGTACCTATTATTAAAAATTGTGCATATGTAAGATTTTAATAGAAAAAGATAAATCTCACCAATATGTGAGAAAATATGTGGAGTATGAGATTTAAATTACCTACTTGTAATTTTGTCTAACCGTTTAATCTTTTAGACCATAATTTAGGAAACCCCTACATAATATAATCAATGATTGAAACATGAGAGACCATAATTTAGGAAACCCCTGGGTTTAAGCCCACTCTTACACCGGCCGAGGCCTCAAAATATAGGGTACAGTCCCTCATTGATAGAGCTTCTTGGTTGCCTGATGCAAATGTAGTGTTTGAGTCAACCTAAAGAATGGGAATCTGATGAATGCGAAATACCATTTGTGACATTTTTTTCTAATTTTAATTTCTTTTACATTAATTTAGCTATACATTTGTGAGTTTAATATAAAAGTTGACCAGTTATATGTAATTCAATGTTTATAGATAATTTTTATATTTTTTGAGATCGAGTTGTGATGCAGTAATATATTTGTTTATTTATTGCTTTTTCATTATAAAATGAACTGATAAAAAAACTTCATAGAGTTCACTCAAAATATATAAGGAATAAAAGTTTGTTTATATTTTTGTTTTTGTTCTTGTTTTGTTGAGTGTTCTCTAAAATTTTAATGAGTAATAAAACATTCATTATTGATTGATATCCTTTGACTATATCATTGAGACATATATTTGTTTATATGTTGATGGGTCTATTCCTTCACTTCCAACCATTGATGTTGGAGTTTAATTGTAAAAAATATTGGTTAGAATTGGTTCATTCACATGTCATGTGGTTGTTGAAACATAATGGTGTTGAGTGCAAAACACTTTTAGACACTAAAGGAATAAGTAATGGAGGTTCATTCATATGTCATGGAGGTTCGGAGTACCACATGCCTCCAGCAGGTGGATAAAGGAATAAGTAAAATTTTTAGCTTGTTATTTTACTTGTGACATTTCATTCTATCATGGTTGAAGTTATTTATTGTTTTGACATTGAACCTTTTCCTCATGTGACAAACTTATTCATAAATAGCCTTTTCCAAGAAGTAATATTTCCTCTTTATTACCAATCGAGCTACTAATTCTATGGATTCCAATTATAGTTTTGGAGAGAATTTTTAATCCACATTTCCTGACTAATGGCACTGTAATGAAATGTCCTCTTGCGATTTGTATACTAGTCTTTTACAATGGGTATACCTAGACACTTGACAGCATACCTGCAATTTCCATGTTTCATTTTGCTCGAATATGAAGTTAAGTAGCTCTTGAATAATACATATTTGCTTAGAGGTCAAAAGTAGATTTCCCGACAGTTCATCCGTCGATGGTTCACTTCAGTAGTCCTTGAACTGTCGTTCTCTACAGTTAGCCTCAGTAATTCTCGATAGATGAACTTTCGACAGTCCTTTCTACATCACATAACTGTTCCACATGTCCATCTCACCTCATCCAAACACTGCATGTGTGTTTCGCATTAACATGTATGAAATACTATGATGTCACGATTTTTTTATTTGTCGTTGTAACATGTATAAAATACTATGATTCGCATTTTATGTTATACATTTGTTTCACTTTGCGTTGTAGTTCCTCCATTATGATTGATTAACTCATTTTTCGTTGGCATGAGACATGTTGCTTACGTGAACACCCGTGTCTAGTAGGTAGAAGTAAACCATTGCATTGTCAAAGGAAGATAACCGTTATGAAGGTGCAATGTGGACTACATTACTTTGTCCAGGGAGATACGTATTGGGGCTTCGCATCAAAGAGCATTATGTTTTCCCTTAATGTGTAATCATTACGTTACTTTTTTAACTTACCTTTTGTGATATTGATTACTGTGAATTGTGTAAGAGAGACACAATTTTGAATGACGTAACAATGATCATGATCGACTCATGCGTCAAGCTCAAGCACGAAAAAATATTTTGATAGATGATTTTATAAGTTTGTCATTTCTCATGGATTCGTTATTATGTTCAATTAAAGGACAACAACATTCGTTATTTTTTTTAATATCATGATTGAAGTTCAATCCATGATTTATTTCAATATCAAAAACTTGATTATGGAACATGGTACAATTAAAAGATGATTTAGTATTGATGAGAATTGGGCAAGAAAATTTCAAAAGGCTTACATGGTTCACGGCTTCTCGATTGTCATGCAGGTATGAATGTTTGTAATATTATTCTAACGTGCTTGATTTTTCACTCCTGTAGTATCGTGCCTTGAATCTCGCTAATTTGAATGTGTTTTTCTTCTTGCAATAGGTATAGGCGTACGAGGCGCTTCCAAAAATTAGAGAACGTTTCGATCAACGAGTTGGTGAACGAATGAATTTTAAACATGCCAGTGCCTTCGTAATATCAGATTGGGTTAAGATGATGAGCCATTAAAAGTGTCACAAGCATGACAACCATGGTACAACTAATTAACAATTGAGTTAATATCAATTTCCTTTTTTTTTTCATTCTTCGTTTAACATGTGCGAGGAGATGATGAGTCATTAGTCTGAGACACTTAGCATTACAACCATGGTACAACTAATAAGCAATTTGTTTGACAATGTTTGAGTTGCAGGAAACTGGATTAAATGAATTGTACACATGATTTAAGAGTCTTTAAAGTCCTACTAATTATGGGGAAATGAGGGATAAATGTACACTTAATTTATTGAACCATCATACCAATTGTTTTTCAAATTTGCAAGGAGATTGGATTTGATGGTTGGGTAGATGATGACCATAATTGTTTCCTCCTCAAGTTGCTTATAAATACTGTGTGAGTTCATTGTCACTTACAAACAACTTAGTTGAATAGCATTATGATATTTTCAACTTCTCACATACACTTTTCGTTTCATCAAAAATTTACTACGTCGACATAATGGGTTTGTCCACAAGAAGCAACAAACTGTTCGTCATTCACGTGAACAAAGTTTGTCCTTCAACTATAACACAAGTTCTGCTACGGT